TGCTGTTTGTGACAGCACATCTGCTTTTAATCTTTTTTGGCACATTTAGCAAATGCAAAAGTTTATAGCAAGCCTAATGTGGCTGACATCTCGAAAGTAGTCAATAGTAAGTTTTAATTTTCCAAATCTGCACCTACACCAGAATGTATTGAAAGGGAGATGAATGTACACATGACTGAAGTGGATGGACGAACAGATGGATGGATGAATGGCAGAACGGATGGATGGCAAGAATAGCACACAGACAAAAAGAATGAACCAAAGCAACTCAAAACTTTGCTCATGAACATCTAGATCTTTTATATATATGTATACATATTTTTTAATCCAGAAATATATTAAGGCAGGAAATAATATCTAAAATATTTCCCCACACTTACCTAGAGCTGGAAAAATGCCTGGAAAGTCAAATTCCACAAATGTTTAGAGATTAAGAATTTGCTACTGCACTTTTGGAATACATACAACATACAGCAACGTTAGTCACCATCGGGTCAATGTTGTACATGTAGACCGTGCTGAAGACAAACAATAGCTGTAAATTCATATGTAGGGTAAATAAATGTAAAGTCATCTCGTTATCATGAGGTGGCTTAAATAGAAAGATCAGTAATTTAGCAACACAAAACAAAAGTTTTCTTTTGGTGGAGTATTGAAATGTGTTATGTATTAATGTAAAAAAAAATGCATAAAAAGGGTTATGTAAAATGCATTTGAACAAATTTCAGATCTGAAAACCTTGATCCAACCAAAGGAAAAAAAAAAGTTAAATTAAAAGGAAGAAAAATGGTACTGACATAGTTAGCCTGGGATTTATCACAGAGATGCTCATTGTATTTAAACACCTGGCTGCAGTTCACTTTTAGCACTGCTGATTTATACTGAGGGAAATTTCATAGATACCGAAAGGTCTTTGTGGCCATGACTGTGCAGCTGAGCCTGTGCAAGTGCAGCGGTGGAAGGAGAGTAATACTTGGTCATCAGTCTGGGATGTGGCCCAGTAGGAGTCCTAAAACAGGGCCATTAAAATCCCGCAGCTAAACCTCACACCACTGCCCGTCCATAAAGTTGCCATTGCTAATTAAAGTGTTGCTTTCTTCTCCTCTGTCATCTCCTCAATCATTCTGTTTAATGGGCAACACTTTCCGTCGTCCCGTCAGGCTGCGATCAGTAGATGTTTTCCATTAGGCTGGTGGGGAAGGTCCTGTGTTTCACTGACAAAGATCCAGATGGTAATTAAGAAAGTTAATGAAACTGCAGCTCATGGAATGATTTATCATGTTAAGCAGCTACCTATAACAAAAAAAAAAACAAAAAAAAAAAACTACTACTTTATTTGAAGATAATTGGGGAAAGGGTTGAAGGCAGGTGACTGAACTGGATAGATACAGCCAAAGCGCAGAATCCCCGCTGCGCCTACAAAATATGCATTTGAGTCATTTTCAAATGGTCCCTTTTTGATTCATTATTTATGTCCCACCTTCCAGCAGCTAGCCTCCTTAAACACTAAGTGCAACAAAACAGAAAGAAGCCCATCATAGCAGGAATGTTTCCTTCTCATTTTCAAGCCAAAACTCTTCAGAATATCTTTTAGTACGGCATGTTTCAAGCGTTCAAAGGAAGAGCTGCTTAACAAATACATTCCTTGACAATAGGCCCACCTTTGACTGTACAATCACAGCTTTACGGAGAACACGCCGTACAGAGGGGAAAAGAAGCAATGAATTCCCACCATCTGCTCTTTAACAAATGAAGGCCTGGATATCTGCAGATTTATGTCAGCACTGGGCTTATGCTGTTGTGGGCTGGTCACAGTAAATCTGCTATTTTTGTCGCGGTATAAAATGTATTCCACCGTTAAATCACGTGCGAAAGCCTTACTCAGACGGCGCATTCGTACATACACACAACCAAGCATATAATTTCAACTTGCTGACTTTTATATTCATTACACTTTATCTTGTTGGACCAATCTATTTTGGAAACACCATGAGCGTTTTCGCTTAAGAGAATAGAAGCAAAAAACTGAAACTTGTGCATTTCTACTTGAAAATTATGACTTCTGAATATTTATTCTTTTTCTACATTTTCTTGGCTCCGTTTGCTCTTTAATTTTCTATGAAGCCATTAAAATGTTAGGAAAAAGCAAATCCTTTTAGTGTTTTAAAGCCGAAAATCTAAATATTTGGGGCTGGTTTACAGGTGCTACAAATTTGTAACCTGGCACACATATTTTCTGTTCACTCTTATCAGACTGACGTCTGGACTTTGACCGGGCCGCTTCAAAACATTACTACATTCCAGTCAGACAAAACATATTCAACTGGTTTCTTTAAACCAAAGTCTGCCAGGGGTAGGCCAAATAAAGCATTCTGGTTAAGATATCAGAGTGAATGAAATTTATGCTTAGAGCAAGGATTTAAAGCAAGCACTTTTAAACCATTTTTTTTAAGCCAAATAAATAGGAACTGCTATATATATATATGCACACAACTTTATAAAGATTCCTACAATGAAGTGCCTGTTGCTCAGACATAACCCCAAGAATAACTGATATTTTAAAAAGCTGTAAATGATAGATCAGCTTTTGCTGAAAAATATGACCCTGAAATGATGGTATGGACTGAATTGTAAAATTTATTTCATACCATGCATTATTTGGTTCAGATATTTTGCTTGCCATTTATTAGTTGACCTGGACCATTAACGTTAAGCTGACCAAGCTGAGATGAATGGTCTTAAGTTTTATTACAATTATTCTGATGCATCCTTAGAATCTGCCTCAAAACAGATGAGACATATACTCTAGATCACCGATTCCCAGCTCATTCCTTAAACTCTGCTGAATTGTTCCTACAAAATGCAACTGATTTGTTACACACACCATTCGTCTGTTCTCTTGTTCGCCACATTAGACAACATGTACTGCTCTCAATGTGGTCCGTCAGACTGTCTTGCTGACAGCACCACAAAGATGCAACGTGAGTCAAACTTACCTTGGGACAATGCTGTGAAATGTAGACGAAGCAGAGCAAGACACAGTGATGAAACACCTTTGTAAAGAAGAACGTACTAGTCGCTGTGGGAAAACCACAGAAAGACGGTTGTTATTTGATACACCTTGCTGCAATACGGAGGAACATTTACCAAAGGCTGCAACTTTTTTTTATTTTGCAGTACCGACATGCACAACAACATACTTCTCTGTTCTCTTGACAGCAAATGTACTAGCCAGTGGTGGAGGGAGGCTTGTACTTTTTTAGATGATATTAAGAGTTGAAATGTGACCTCAAATCACCAGTTTATTACACGCTTCCTAATGTGGTGATCTTTCATTCAATGAAGGCCTGGAAGTATTTGAAATTGTTAACAGTTTAAAATATTGTGTTGGGTTTATTTCAGGCTCTGAGCTCTAACTAGAGTTAATTAGTCGGACTGGATCGAGTTCAGACACAATGTGGACGGGATCCACGGCGTCAGGTTGGATTTTTAAGCCCAATCTAAACTGTACTTCACAGAACACACACACACAAAAAAATCTCAAAGGGTTTACAAACACCTAAGCAACTTTCTGTTCTCCTTTGGCTGCTGTATCATCTTATTACAAACCAGTTTCCTGTATGATCCGTCTGTCGTCACAGAACTTTGCATCACCCCGATCAATATGAGAAAAGAAATACAGAGAGAAAAAAATAGAAATAAAAGAACTTTCTGAGTCTTAGCCTTTATAAACAATTCGGGAACGAGTATACGCCTGAAAAATGTCACAAAAGCAGTGTAAGCAGTAAAATACATAAAAATCCAAGTGAGGAAAATATGTCTAATTTTCAGGATGACAAAACATGAAAAAAACTACAGTGGGAGAAGATCTATCACTCTGACACCGTTGGTGTTATACCAACTGCTGACAAGGATTATAACTCAAAGCTAGTTAAAAGATATATCCTACATCCACACCTAAGTGATCTCCTCTCGCCACCTGCCGACATACTCAGAACAAAAGGTTATATAAGGGATGTGGGCTTTTGTTTGACACTTCATCTCGAAGTTAAGTTCCAGTTGGAGCCTTGCCTGAGGTGGAGACACCACTCTGCGGCGAAAATGGTGCATTGGAGAGTTGCCACAAACAGAAGACGGGGCAAAATGTTAAGGTCTTGTGCAAGACTGACAACAAAAATAACGGAAAAAGAAAGAGGTGTGTTAAAAATGCTGTACTCTGCATTCTTTGGTAGGCAAACCAATGGCTTGAGTATTTGAATAGCTGTGATCAAACGGCCTAATGAGTAACAAGAGCCAGCTCTCACCAGCTCAGTCTTTGCTTTTGCATAAACGGGTTGATTTCTATTTGCTCGCCTCTCCCTGCTGGTGCAGTTGGGTCTCCTCCAACGACACAGCACAGGTTTTGTTTACAAAACTACTGAATTTGACTGCTGTTTATAAACTATCATATGCAGCATCTGTTGGACTATTCCACAGTTTTAATGTTTGTAATTAATGAAAAGTTTAATTATGCATCTGTGCCACACATGTCTGATTTTCTACAACAACGCTAATAAGGCAGCAATTTGCTTATTTTCCATATAAGTAAACTGCTTATTTTGGCGCAGAATAAGCAGTTTACTTCTTTTGCTTCAAAATGACCAACTTCAGCATTTGGTATTTGTTTCAATCAATATGTGTTTCGAGTCAGTGCTGTCCTTTAACAATGTGACATTGTTTTTAAATGGGTCAATCAGGCCTTATGCGTCATCACCACATACAGACCAATATGTTCACACCAGTTTGCACTCATTTTGCACAAGAAAATACATACATAGTTACATGGATTTAAACCATAAAGTACAAAGTTGAAATTAAATGGAAACTTTTAGATGAACTTCTAGATTAGCATAAGTGTGTGTCTACACTGAAAGCCATGAACTCTGACTAACAACATCTGTGAGGAATAATAGTTCTAATAAAAAAAACAAAAAAACAGAAGAAACTTTGTGCTAACTTACCCCAACCTCCACGTGGTCTGATCCCTTGTCATCTTGCTTGTGAAGAATCTCAAAATAGTATCGCCTGGATGATATCAGGCTACAGGGAAAACAGGAAAAGCTGCAGTTAGATTATAATCAGAATACACTCTACAGTAAGATCTGATTTTAAATGCAAGAAAATGTGACGAGTACAAGATAAAGTTCAATGAAGATTGGTTTTCAGCAACTTCCTCTTCGATTAGAGATTTCCTTTAGATTTACTAAAATCTTTCACAACAAAATGTTTTTTTTCTTGTGATTTTGATTATTTTTTAAATAGTAGCACATAAACTTACCTGTGCTTATAACCAATAGGCACTTCCTAAGGGATCCCGATGACCCCAGTTCCTATTACCTCATTAGATTGTTTTTTTTTTTTCTTCTCTCAAGCAAAAGGAACATTCTAATATTTTAAAAGATCATGGTCATCATATTCTGCTTTTATTGCATTTTGTTTTTAATGTAACCTGCTGCTTAATGATAACTATAAGCTTTTTTTATATTTCTTCAGCTGTGATTTTTATTGACACACCAGTGAGTCATTAGTGAGTGTTTATTTTTGATATGACTCTCGGCCCTGAAAGCCTCGCAGAGAAGTTTTATCAGACTTTAAAATCCTTGAACCAAATAATTTAACTTTAAAACCACAACAACAACAAAAAATTATGCTTCTGTGGAATGGAGGAAGATGTGCCCAGGAAATAATTTTATGCCAGGGGCACAACAGTAAAAGATGACAGTGAGTAGCAGCTTTATTGAAGCCTGAATAAAAAAATAAAAAAATAAAAAAACACTCCTTTAGAGCCTGATGAAGAAAATCGATGTTGAAAATAAATCAGAATTTTCCACTCATCCAGTTCACAGCTGTTTGTGTGAAAATGATTTGAAGGTTCTCCACGTACGCCATTTCCCCCAAATCAATTTAATATGCACATAAAACAAACAATGGTTTATTCATATAAAACAATTTTTGATGCAGTTGGCCACACTTTGACTGTGGAATGAAGGACAGAGCATTTCTTCACACAACATTAACTCCCAAAACAGACGTAAATGTAAGCCCTAACCGACTGCTTGATTTCCATGCGTAGCCCTATGAGCACATCAAATGCTCCAGCAAACAACATTTGGTAGAGTGTTCGGCTTTTATGTGCAGACTATCTTCTGAACAATAAAACAGCACTTTAACTGGAGAAAGGAGAAAATATGTCCGACAAACATTTCGTTTGCTTCAGAAAATAATTTTCAGCAATGAAATTATGTCCTTCTGTTCGGATTTGAGGCAGTACATTCACCCATCTTCTTCTAACTTTGCTGAAGATAAAAAAAGCACTATGTATATATATATATATATATATATATATATATATATATATATATATATATATATATATATATATATATAAATAAACATATTTTGATGTGTGTGTTTTCTTTTCTACTTTTTGATGTTGCTGGCTGAGTTGAAACTGAAGGACACAGGCCTAAGGGGGGGGGCAGTCATGTGCTGCACCGGGCATAAGCTCCGCTGTATCATCCCACTGACAAGCTTTCTGTATAGCCAATAAATCATTGCAGGTGCAGGAGAGCAGTGACAGTATGCTATAAAGGTCACTCTTTCATAAGTAGGGGATGTCTGTGTAGCTGTTGAAATTGCACCCAGCAAACCTAAGTGTCACTTGAAGTTCCTGGCTGCCTCACTTGCCCTTCCCAAAAAAGATACAAACACAATTCCTACAACCCTGACGTTTAGACGATTCATCACTGAAGGAGTAAAAATAACATAATAATAATAATTTAAAAAAAAACCCAGATGAATAAGGCATTTTACATTCTCCAAAGGCAAAGCACAAACAAATCTGTGTTAAAGCAAGTTAATTTATTACGTCTTTCTTTCTAATAATCTAAAATTGAGTGATGCTTGTTTTATAGTTTGACTTTATGGAGCTTTCACCCCTGACCAGACCACATTAATGCTTTTAGGAAACATCATTAGATTTCCTGACCCTTCATTACACTTGGGATGTCTGACCATAATTTGACTTAATCAGGGGGATAATCTAATGGTAGAGTTGAGAGGCCTCTGTCTGCTGCCACACTGTCTCAGAGTTGCACCAAAAACAGACACAAAACAGCTGATGCTTCATCTGAACAAAACTCTCAACATTCGCCCTCAAATTTAAAAACGTATGTAATAATCCCCCTTTAAGTCACTCCCAGAACTGGCAGAATACCTGGAGTCTATGTACAATATCAGATACTTTGTGAAAAATATAATAATATTAAAATAAAATGTTAAATGTAATAAACCTATTATGGGCTTCCAGAGCCATGATATCATCATATTGGATGTGCCTCATTAAAAAAAAAAAAAAAGTTACAATCTCTAAAAAAAAAATGTTTTTGCTAAATTGTCTGACATTTAGCAAATATAAATAATGTTGGTCATTCTTACTGACCTAAAACAGGACAAGTTTAGTCTGATTCAATTTCAGACAGTGAGGGGAAAAAATGTGTAGCTTATGTGACTTTTTATTTCTATTAGACTCAAATAAAAAAAACAATTTAACTAACTTAATATCTCGTTTCTAGTTTGTGCTACAAAGGAGACAATTTACAGCTGCCACAGCTTGTCATGCAGGAAATGTAGAGAAATGTCAGCATCAGTTTGATGGATTTATTTTATTTATTTATTTATTTATTTATTTTTACAAATGACACACCAGAAATTTCAAGAATTAAAGCAAAATCGCTACACGTTATATTGCGGGATTGGACATAGGTGTTTCATCCTTCATAATTCGGTGAGACTAAATGAGTTTGTTTGTGTGTGTTGGATGATTAGAGGGATGAAAGAGATAAAAAATGGTCAAAAGAAAGAAGAAGGAGTGGTAAATGGTAAATGAACTGCTTTCTTACAAAAATGAAGATGGGATTATAGCAAATAAACCTAAAAAATAATTTTTTTTACAGACTTTCCTTCATGAAAAGAGGCAAAAAAGATGAAAGAGCAAGTGAAGGGCAAATGAGCCATGAAAGAGAAGAAGGCAGCTATTAGCATGTGATTCAAAGGATGAAGGAAGGACACAAAACAAGAGTCTAATTGCTTGACTAATTAGAGTCTTTGTTTCCCGTCTCTGCTCACTGTGTGCTGAACAGATAGAGATGGACAAAGGAATCTGAATAGGATGGATAATATGAGAAGGCTCTGTGGGAGCCGACCAATATACCGGAGAATATCATCACAGCCCAAAGTCTGCTTTGGCTAAGGCATTACATTTTTATTTTCCATTAAAAATGGAGGAAGGAACCTTCCTCATGTTGATATACACACTCTTTGACAAACATCTAGAAAACAAACAAACAAAAATAAAAAAAACAAACCCAATGAAGCAAAGCGAGGCCGTTTTTATCCAAAAACGTATTGAACGTATTGACCCACAACCCCCCGTTTCTCGCCCCTCTCTAAAAACCTGGAAGTGAAGTAAAAGAGTGTAAACTTCCTGTCTTTGCTATTATCCTCTCATGCTATTGCACTCTCTCGGCCCACTGATGGCTTTAAGAGTCCACAGTCCAACTTTAAAGTCTGTCCTTTATCCCGAGTGTCACCCTGTCCCCGTCTCCGTCCCTTTTTTTTTTCTCTTGCCTGATTTCTTTATCTGCAATGCCCACAGGTGTCCTTTAAGTAAAAGCTTGTTCTCAGCAAAAACGTTTCTCTCAACTACATTAATGATACTAGAGTCTGGAGCTGCCCGAAGGAGGACAAAAAGCTTTTTTTCCCTTCACACTCTCTCCTCCCTCTTTTCCTCCATTTCCCATGCATTTCTCTAATCCATCAGAGAGTGATCCCAACGCTCTTCCCTGCAGCCTCAATAAATCCTCTTTCTTCCAATTTCTCCATCCGGCTCTGTCATCCCCTGTTCTCTCCCACTGTTCTTCTGTGTCAAGTCGGCCATTTCTTTCCCGCACTTCTCACACAGGTCTACCTTTTCTGAATTGACCGCATCCAATTCTCTTATATGCAAGCATGTCATGTAAATGTTGAAGAATTACTGAGCTCAGCTCTTTTTTTCTTTGCTTATATTTCTATCTTTTTCCCCACATCACTCTTATTGTGAATTGGGGAGGACAGTTCGTGTTCACTTTTCTTTGCTTGTCTGGTATTACTAGATTTTACAAAGTTCTTGCTTTTCTCAATGCAACACCAGGAGGTCAAGTTTCACACAGTTTGTTTTCAGCCCCCTCTGCCCTAACACCCCTCGATAAAATCCAGTTCAAGCAGTTGTCTTCAGAAGTCCCCTAATTACTACAAAGAGTACATCAGTGTTCACTGTAACCTTCCTCGAATAGCTGGTCTTTAGAAGATCTCAAAGGGTTATTAGAAAATATTAGTCAACAAGCAGCATCATAAAGACCAAGAAACACGTCAAGCATAACAGAAATAAAGTACAAAAAATTACATAGGAGAAACAGCCAAATGGCCCACCATAACTCTGTAGAGATCCAGCTATTGTCTACACGGTTCAAAGCAAGTGGAAAGCTGTTGTTGGAAGCCATAAAAAGCCTGGTTTGCAGATCGACACAAGCCATGACAGGGACACACAACCTGTGAGAAAATGCTCTGTTTAGATGTGACCAAACTGTACATTTTGGCCTCTGTACAAAAGGCTATGCGAGGTGGAAAACCAACACTGCATTTAATTTTGACCAAGCCATCCGCATGGTGGCGGAAGCATCATGTTGTGGAGATGATTTTTCTTTTTAAAGATTTTCCTGGTCAAAGCTGATGGGACGATGGATGGACGCACAATTAAGCAATACTTTGTGTTGGTTGTATGAAAGTGGTTCTATAATACATTATAATTTGTAATTGTAAAGTGACAAAATGTGAAGGATTAATGTGCTTTGAAAGGCTCTTCAGTTGCATTGTCGGGATAAGCAAGAAGCATTCTTCTTATTTTGTTTGTTTTTGCATTGATTGATTGATTTATTTATTCATTTTGAAAAAGAAAAGTGTCCGTACTGTTGGTCTTACACATCTCTGCTTTGTTTTCTTAC